CACTTTCAGAATCTAAATACACTTCTAAAAATGGTAATTAATCATTGCAGCAAGGCCTAGAAATGAGAATATGAGTAGCAGAAACAATGACAATCTTTTCCATTTCTGCTGGGTCATGATAGCTCCAATTAAGTGACCTTGGCAGATATTTAAATGATTCTGTCTATGCTTTTTGGTGGGCCTGGTACTTTGGATGGTTAGGAACTTTCTGCATATGGTTAACCTCGAAATTCAACATAACATTTCAGATAGGTAGGGATGTATTATGGTCAGATCAGTTTTCTCTTCTTTCTTTTTTTTAATTTACATTTTGACTTTAGTGAGGTTTGGACAAGTTTCAAGAACAGAGTAATTACTGCCAAAGATATCATCATTGCATAACGATAGTTGGCAGTTCTGCCTGCAGACCCGGCAAAGTGGGCTCCTGCCCTGAGTGTGTGCCTCATCGGGCCCTGAGTATCACAACCTATACAAATGAATTTATTAAGGGACACATGGTCACCTCTGTCACTAGGGTTCTGGTGTTCAGTGATGAGAGAGCATAAAACAGGACCCTAAACATCTGATCTCAAAACCAACTCTATTCAGGCTTTACAACTTTTGTCCCATGGACTTGAAACAGCACTGTGGTTTTCCCTGTGCCCTAACATGGCAGATGGACACTCCTAGGTGTGTAGATGATGTAGTGTCAGAGAATTTAGTTAAAAGAAAAGTCAAATTAATTAAAAATCAAGTCCTTCCTTTCAGATAGCAAGAATATTAAACCGTTTTAAATAATGAGAAGTATTTCCTAGTAGTGCCAACCATTAATTTTCTTGCTTCTCTTCATGTTCTAATTCATGGTTCTGGAAAGAGTCACACATTAGTATAGTATTTGCATATAGTTGAGCATGGTGATTGAGGAATATGTCCCAAATTAAGTAATATTACTGTTAAAATATAGCATGTGAAACATGATACTGATTCTTTACATTGACACAGAGCTCGATGTGCTGGAATTGCTAATAGGGTAGGTTTCCATTTTAGTAAAAAATTAATAAGGTGTAATTGAATTTTCAAATGGTAAGTAAAAATTTTAAGCCTTTTCTGAATAATTTTTATTTATTTCAATGTTGGTATTCATAATCATAATCTGTAGTTTGCATTTTAATTCTGATAACTTTGAACCATTTGGAAGAAAATAACTTTCAACAATTACAGGATGGTAATTTTACTTTTCTGATTTAGAAATTTTAATTGACATTTTTGATGAAAATATATATTCAAATTTTATATAATTTGAATACAGTAATCTTTTAGCATTGTTGTCCAATAGAATCTTCTGTGATAATAAAAATGTTCCATATCTGTGCTGTTGAATACAGTGACCACTAGCCATATGTGGCTCCTGAGTACTTGTTTGTGCCACTGAGAAACAAAACTGATATGTGACTGGGTTCTCACACACAGAACAGCATAGAGTCAGATCATTACTGACAGGTGAATACAAATTATGTGACAATCTTGTTTATAGCAACATATTAGTGATTTTACTAAAATAAAGGGGAAATCAATTTTATAAATATTAATATATGAATCATCTATGCTTTGATTACTTCTCCATATAGTCAGACTGTCAACAGAAGATCTAAATGTGCATAATGATATATTCAAATGTCTGATATTTTGCTGACTTTTCTCATATAAAAACTATAGATTTTCTTACCTTTCAATATTTTTGTTAATTTGTCAGGATAGGAAAATACAACACATGTATAATAATATGCTAACTTGATTAATAACTTTGAGATATTGACATGTGTCTCCATTTATATACTCTTGCCCCAAGCCCACCAATATTAGGGGCTGGCTTGAAAGCCCTAACTCTGACCAGCCATTCTGTAAATGTCACTATTGTCCCCAGAGAGCCATGAGTATCCTGTGGTTTGACTAAAATAAAAAATCTTGCCTGCTGAAAAAAGAAGTGAAAGCAAATGTCCCTCTGGGAGGATTCCTACAGCGTCCCTTCCTTAGGGAAAGTCTAATGCATTCATTTTCTTTTTTTTAAAATTTATTGTTATGTTCATCACCATACATTACATCATTAGTTTTTGATGTAGTGTTCCATGATTGTTTGTGCATAACACCCAGTGCTCCGTGCAGAACGTGCCCTCTTTAATACCCATCACCAGGCTAAACCATCCCCCCACCCCCCTCCCCTCTAGAACCCTCAGTTTGTTTTTCAGAGTCCATCGTCTCTCATGGTTCGTCTCCCCCTCCGATTTCCCCCCCTTCATTCTTCCCCTCCTGCTATCTTCTTCTTCTCCTTTTTTCTTCACATATATTGCATTATTTGTTTCAGAGGTACAGGTCTGTTGAATCACAGACCTGTACCTCTAATCCATTCATTTTCAATAGAGGCCTTCTATTTGGGCTCAAAGTTGCTTTGACCAGTTACCTATCCGTAAGAGAGAGTAAATAAACAGTTGTCAAGAAATGGAAACAGAAGGAGCCCCTGGTAAAAATCTGTCACTGCTTGCAATGTGGATTGCAGGCTTATAGGGGTAGAGGCTTAACATTGTAATGTTTAGGAAACAGATAATGCAAACTCATTGACCCTCCCACTAAGCTTTAACAACAGGAAGAAGGGACAAGGTATCTTCAGGTTACCAGGGTAGCAGTAGTTGGAATCTCTGCAGGGCTTTCTCTCCTCTGGTGCAAAGAAAAGCTACAAGTACAGCTGCCTCCCAACCCACCACCAAGGCACCTTCCACATTCCTTGCCCGTGGGTGCTCCACGCTAAGGCTGTTCCACACTTTCTTCTGAGGTCCCCAGGGGGGTGAGTCCCAGTTGTCCACAGTGGTAACCTGCTCATTGATATACCTATATTGGCTTATTTTATTTTATTTTATTTTGCCCCTTTGTCTCACTTTCCAATTCCTCTTGTACTGCTTCCTGGGATTAGTTCCCTAGTAGATATCACTTGCACATATACCCTCACCTCCAGGTCTTTTTCTGGGGGAGCCCAGCCTAAGACAACCTCCAGCATGCACGACAGTGTCTGGCATATAGTATGGCCTTAAGAGATATTTGCTGAAAGAATTAACGTAGTTTGCAAAGGAAATCCTACCCTAATATTAACTTCACCCAGTTTAAGGAAGTTACTAAAAAAGAAAGCAACTAGATTGACTTTTACCTCATCTGGATGCTCCATGCATCTCCCAGCATAAAAGTTGCATTGGCAAGCACATTACCATTCAAAAAAGGCAAATTTAGGCTCCATCACAGTGCACACATGCCCTTAATAAATGGGAAGCCCAGGTTGCAGATTGGACTGTCCTCACTTGCTGAGCCTTTGAGGTATGTGGCTCCCTTCCTGCTTTGATACTTCAACTGTTCATTTTGCGTTTAAAGATAAGGCTCAACAAATACATATTTGTGAGAAGTAGCAGGATGATGTAAAATCATTAAGAAGTAAATGATTAATATGGAGCCCTTTAAAGAGCACTTCTCATAAGGATCCAGTAAGTGGAATTCCTGAAGGAGTTTTTGTTGGGACACCAAAAGCAAAAGTCCTCTAGTCCCAAAATTTGCCCCGGCGAGGTTCTTGTCTGTTGGTTCTGGGTTCCGCTGGAGGCCGCGTGGAGGTCAGCGTGGGATCAACGTACTTTTGGGGCTTTTATAAGCACTAGGTGGAAGCAGTGCAGGAGAGCTCTGGGGCACACCTGCATCATGGGTTTGCCTTTTGGCCCGTGTCATTGCCCGTGCTAGAACACAATGTTACTTTCGTTAGTTACTTCGGTTTCTAATTTAACCTCTTCCCAAGCCCCTCTATTGCGTTTATTAGCTAGGACTGGCATCTCCAGCTGCGGGGTGTTGGCTCAGTGTGCTTATTCTCAGGGAGAGAGAAGAATCACCTTTTTTTTCCTTTGTAATTTGATAAAGCGAACCTCTTTACTGAAGCATCAGAAGCTTTTAAATTAATAAAATAGTCATCCCAAGCACAAAATGGTAAATTAACTATTTCAAGACATGGTTTGATTCATTACCCACGCCTCCTCCGCACCCTTTCCCCAACACTTTGCACCTCTTACAGAAATCAGGGGTTAGGTCCAAAGCCTCGTTTCGGCGTGACCACCGCCTTCGGGGCATTGCCCGCGGCTCGCTCCGTCCCACGCGGGACAACCTCGCGACTGCGGGGGCCCCGGGGACAGGAGCTTCTGTTCCGGCGGGCCGGCTGGCGCGCTGCAGGGTCGCGGCGCTCGCGGGCGCCCGCTCTGTCCCCGGCGCCCGCCAACTTCGCTCCG